CAGCCCTAGTGTCCATCAGTAGACGAATGTATAAGAAAGCTGTGGTACATATACACAATGGAGTACTATGCAGCTGTAAGGAAGAAAGATCTCTTATCTTTTTTTTTTTTTTTTTTTAATCCTCACCCAAGGACATTTTTCCATTTTTTGTTCAGGTAGAGTGGGAGGGAGAGAGAGGAAGAGAGAGAGAAACATCGATGTGAAGGGACACATCGAGTGGTTGCCACCCGCACAACCGACCAGGGCCGGGGACAAACTGCAACCGAGGTACGTGCCCTTAGCGGGAACCGAACCCGGGTCTCTCAGGACCGCAGGCCGACGCTCTAACCGCTGAGCCAAACCGGCCAGGGCAGATCTCTTATCTTTTGAGAGTATATGGAGTGACCTGGAAAGTACCATCCTAAGTGAAACAAGCCAAACAAAGAAAGACAAGTATCATATGATCTCACTAATTTGTGGAATATAATGAACATAACAGTCTGAGGAATGGGCTAGTCCCAGAGATGTGGAAGTGGGGTACAGACTGACAATCCCCAGAAGAGGGGGTTAACCACAGAACTTATATGCATGTATGCATGAACAGTGGATATGGACAACTAATTGTGACAGGGCAGGGAGTGAGGGGGAGGGGGGAAAAAGGAGAAACATCTGTAACAAAGATTAATTAATAAAAATAAATAAATTTTAAAAAAAACAAAAACAAAACGCAGACACACACAAAAACACAACAAAATAGAGTAAGAAATTAAAATAAGCAACCTTAGCTACAAGGTCATAGTGATATGCAAAAATTAAAATATTTTCAGACCTGAGTATTCTTTTTATGTATAGTATTGGCTCTTGAAATCATATTAATATTTTACATATGCAAAAAGTAAAATTAAATCAATAAGGATAAGATACCCTAAAGTTGATATAAAGAGACAAATGGATCTAAATATATACCAAAAAGATAATATAACAATACAGTTGATGAAAAACTAATCCAAGTTACTTTTGACGATATGCCCTCAGTCTAACAATAAGAAGAACTTAACAGAGCTTGACGTATTCTTAATAGGCTATTTTATGATAGTGGTGTTGCTGTAGCAATTCTAAAATTATTTTGTGTGTGCCTATAGGACCGAACAAATGAGTAATTATATTGATGTTGTTGAAAGCTAGGGAGAAGAAAAATACATCTTTGGAATGAGAGAAGAATAGGAATAACACTATAAGTTGTAACACCCCAGTAGCAATGAGCACAGGTAGTGCAAAACATTTGGTTTCTAAATACCATTCTTCTATAAAAGCAACCAGAACATTTTTTAAGAAATTGCTGGTTCTACGTCTAGGGAAATTGGAAACATATTGTGCCAAAAAGTAAGACAGTGGTCAAATACTGATAGAACGTGTTAAAAGTATATAAGAGCTGGCTTTAGGGCTTTCTTACAACCTAATTGGGAACAATCTTATCATCAAAACAAATCCTGAAAGCAAATTTAACACATCATATAAAATAGAATCTACAAGTACAAAATGGTACTGAAAAAATAAAACAAAATATCAGTATATTAACAAGGGAAAAAGAAGGGAAATATCTTCTTTATAATAGAATGCTCGCTAATCATGTTGTGGGAATAACAGAGTTTGAAATTGACAATTCACAATTAACATAGTAATAATTAATTTAGGCAACAGGCTAAAATCATTGGGTGCTAATTTGAAGCAGAGAATCTAAGTTATTTCCACACAGTTTACTTATTAGTTAAAAAGGAAAATGATAGTAGAGAAACCTGGTAGACACAATCTCAGCAAATTAAAGTAAATATTCACACACACACACACACACACACACACACACACATATTAACACAAATGGGACAAACTGACATCATGTGCCCACAACTGTGATGCACTGAGAAGGGCACAGCATCACTTCTATGTTATTCCTGCCTCAAATGCATCACCTGAATACAATCATAAGGAAGCATCAGACAATAGGAAATTGATGACCATTCTCCAAAATGGCTGACCTGTACTCTTCAAAAATGGCAATGTGATGAAATATAAAGAAATGCTGTGGAACTGTTCCAGGAAGTTAAAGATACAGGACAACTAAATGTAATACATGACTCTTGATTGGAGTCTGGATTAGATAATTAATTGTTACAAAACACTTAATTGGAATTACTGGTGAAAATAGAATTTGGAATGTACACTAGGCAATAGTTTTTTAAATTAATATTGAAGATCTTGAATTTGACATTTTATTGTTGCTATGTAAGAAAAATCCTTATTTTAATAGACAGACACTATTAAAAACACAGGTTTTTGGTGGTGCAGGGTTATTAATTGCTGTGATTCACTCTCATTATGGTTCAGGCAAAACATAATACATGTATATATTCATGAACATATAAAGTAAATGTGGAAAAATGTTACCAAAATTATTTTTAAAGACTACTGTTTACCACTGTATGCCAATAAATTTGACAATCTAGGGATGAGTTTCCAAGAAACTATATTTCCAAATTTATTTCAAAAGGTCATTAAAATATGAAGCACTTAAATATTATAGGAAGTATTGACCGGCTGGTGTGGCCCAGTAAATTAAGCATTGTTCCATGGACTGAGAGGTCCTGGTTTGATTCCTGGTCAGGGCACATTCCTGGGTTGCAGGCTCCATCCCCAGTAGGGGGCATGAAGGAAGCAGCCAATTGATGTTTTTCTCTCACATTGATGTTTCTATCTCTCTTTCTTTTCCTCTGTAAAAAAGTCAATAAAAACATATTTTTAAAATATCATAGGAAATATTTAGAAAATACATGATTCCTTTCTTATATAAAATGTTCTGGAGCACAGAGAATGAGAGGAGACACACATGAAGATCAAATACCAAGGAAAGAGACCTACAGACGTGTCTACTTTATGTATTTGCACTGGCATGTCATTGTGAAAAACAGACAGAGTAGTATAATAGACAGACCACCAGAATGGGATTCAGTGGATCAGGTTATAGTGCTAATTCTGCCTTCCAGTGCAGTGGGGATTTGAGCAAGTCATGTAACTTTTCTGAACTTCCATTTCTCCTGGCAAAATGGGGCTAGTGATGTTTGCTTTTCCTCTCTCACAGATCTGTTGTGAGAATCAAATAATCTAACACTGTAGGAAATGAAAATCCCTGAACAGATATAAGAAATGCTAGACAATAATTCAGGGAAGTTCATGTGCATCTTGGGATTTGACCTGTATTTGTCATTCCTTTTCAACACATATCTTCTCTTATAAATAGTTACATTTAGTCTCGGTTGTAAATTTGAAAAAGGCCAAGGCTGGAATTTTCTAGACTTTTGTATATTTGATATTCTCTGCCTTGGAACAGTTTATATAACCAAGGAATTGTCTCTTTCTTCACGTGGGTGTGCAAATATATAGTTGCTTGTTAGCTTTAATGACAATTCCAAAAAGCTCTCTTAAACTTCCTGGACTAGGCATTTTGTACTTATCTCATTACCCATAGGTTCCCTGATAGATATAAGCTCTAAGAGGGCAAAAACTACACCTGCCTTGCTTATTATGATAACCTCGGTGTCTACAATAAATATTTGTTTAAAGGCAGCTCTTATAGAAAATTAATTAATAAAAATCCTTGCTGAAAGGAGAGTCGTCTGCTTTCAATAAATATTTTTGAACATGTATGATGTGCAATGCCCTGTGCTGAACAATGTGGGTGCAATAAAGATTATCCCAGATCATCCAGTATCTGACAACCACCCAGCTCTCAGTCCCAGTCATTCTATTCTCTGGATGTGAGGAAGTGAACATTTGCAGAGTCACTCTGCCACCTTTTGGCTGTACCTACGAATTGCACCTTCTCTGGCATCTGTCATCCTGAGAGGATGTACAGCTCTCAACTTGTTCTGTAGCTCTAGGACAGCATCATCATTCCTTCATCCATTCCACATTCATTGAGCTCAAGCTTCAAGCTACGTTCTGTGCCATAATCTGGATATATGTAGTGAAAAAGCACACATGGCTCTTGTCCTCAAAGAGTTTACAGTCTGGTTTAGGGGGGGAGAAGATAATAAACGTGATTACATAAATGATTATTTACAAATGTGTTCAGTACAATGGAAAAGAAATACAAGGTGCTATAAGAGTTTCCTATGTCGTTCTACTCCACCTTCTTTCTGAATTAGAATCCAGGCATTGGTTTGCTCTAATACCCCAACCTATGCTCCTGAAATGGGAGCATACTACATTTTGCGACCCTAACCAGAAGCAGAGCAATATCAATGCTTGGGCTCAGACAGAGGTGCTGAAACATGATCAAAAGTGGCTGGAATGATTTGTGTGTGTGGTTTGGATTTTAATAAAACCCAGGCTTATCTTTTTTCCTATACCTAAACTGATCCACTCAAGATGACTTGTTGCCAAAAAATTAAATACTCTAGCTTTCAATACTACTACTACTGCTACAACTACTACTAGGTAATATTTATTGAGAGGTTACTTTGTGCCAGACACTTTAAATGCAGCATTTAGCATAACATTCATAACAACTCTATGAGGTAGATATTATTATTCCTGAAAGGACAGTACTAGTGAGGAGCACAGGGTCTGGAAGAGGATTGTTCATTTTGAACCTCATGATGCCATCTTCCGGCTGTGTATCTCTGGGTAATTTCCTTAAGTTCTCTGTGTCTTCATTTTCTCATTTATAAAATAGAGATTATAAGAGTAATCTACCTTAAAGTGTTGATGTAAAGCCTGAATAAGTTAATATGTATACAGTACTATACTGAGAGCAATGCCTGGCATATAGTGGGGGTTTGATACGTGTTAGATGACATTTTTTATGGAACATAGCATTTGTACTTAACTTTCCCAGGCTCCCATAATGACTGAGTGGTACAGACGATACAAACAGGCAGGCAGTCTGATTCCTGAGCATGGCCTCTGCACTCGTCCACTGTATATTCTGAATATCTTATTCCTGAATGCTTTCTGTTTCTCAGGCAACAGAAGTCTCAATTGATTCTGCACATACAATTCTGGAATCATTTAGTATGCCTTGGCTGAACACGGACAAAAGTAGCTTTTCAGTAGGCAATTGCTATTTCATTTCCCAGGAGAAGATCACACAGGTACATTACGGAAATAATCTTTTCTTTTTGATATTGATGGAAGCACTGTAACAGGGCAGTTTTCAGCAACATCATTGTTTGCATGCAATGTCTTTGGGAACATGATGTAGTCACCACACAGAACAAGTGCTTTAAAGCTAATCAGATCTACATCCAAATCTCAGCTCTACATTTGACCTCAGACCAGGCCTTTTTTTGTCTGACCCTTAGTTTCCTTACATTGAAAATAAGGGTAATAACAACTAGCTCATAGAATTGGCATAAAATAGTAAAAAATTATCTCTATCTATCTATCTATCATCTATCTATCTATCTATCTATCTATCTATCTATCTATCTATCTATCATCTATCTATCTATCATCTATCTATCTATCATCATCATCATCTATCATCTATCTATATGTCATAGGATTCACACAGTACTTGACTTGAAACTTAACAAATGCCAACTCTTCCCCATCAAGGGATTAGTGGTTGTGGTTACAAAAAGTTGAAGGGGCTGTGTAAATTTCAAATGGTCGGCAAGCACAAAAAGTCAGCATATGGGAGGAACAGAGGAAAAGAGGACGAAAGGCAGGCAAGATATGTAAATAATTTTATGCTGGACTCACACACAATCTCCAGAGTGAGGGATGACTTCTTAGCAAAGAACCAATCCCAATCTTTGATTACTGAAGCTCAGAGTCCCCACACTGACAGCAGTATCTGGGATAAATGTCCTTATTTAGAACTGCAGCTCCAGCAAGCTATTGCTCCCCCTCTGAGAGGAATGTTAATGTCAGGATTAAAAGGCAGGTGGAATGTTTCTCCCTAGCCCACTCTTCCACTTGCCTTAATGAGTGACACCTCCAAAGACTCTCTATTCCTGGAGTCAAGAGCCACTTGCCTTGAAAGCCAAATCAATCTAAACTGATATATTTTTTTAATACTTTCTTGATCTCTTAATAATGTGAAAAAATATCAGGGTGGGGCTTATTCTGGACAAAACTTGCACTATTCCCTGAGTCATGGCTCTGCTGTTTAAGGCCTCATTAGTTCTCATAGCTGAGACTTTTGAGTATATTTGGGAGAGACTGAGTTCTCAGCATACTGGGTTGGAACGAAAACCCCCAACTTAGCCTAAAGATTCTGGGATCAAATTTCCCAATTTGGAATAAAACAATGGAAATTTAAACACAATAAAAGCTACACAAAGCAAGTGCTATGTCAGCTGCAGAACTGGGAGCCAAGATAACCAGCTTTTTAGATGTGTCAGAAATGGGGGTTCTGTAATATTTGTTTTCTGAGGTTTGCTATAAGTGAGCTGGAGACTTCGATCATCTCAGTAATGGAAGATAATCTATTTTAAATCTTTAAGGGAGAGCTTGCCAGGTAATACAAACTACTCCTTCGTTCAGGCAATCCATGCCATGGTAGAAATATTTGTTGTGGCACCTCTATGCAAACTTCATAGTCACAGATACCTGGCTTAATGTCTTTTAAAAGGCCACCTTTACCTTTGAGTGGAGCAGGTGAGAAATTATCTCAAATGAATTTAATGTGAACAACCAAGCATTGGATGAATACCTTCTATATGCTGAACATTCTGTTAGGCATTGTGAGCGATCCAGAAGAAGCATATGACCTAACTTCTCCACCTCATTACTGAGCTTGCAAAACAAACAAACAAAAAACTAACATGTGTGAAACAATCTAGAAACAGTGGGATGGAAGCTGAGAAGCTTAAAGGCATTTAGAGAATGCCTTTGTGGGTGGAGATGGTGGGTGCTGAGATATTAGTAGGTTGGCTAAATTGCAAGGCAGGAGACAACAAGAAGACCACCTGACTGCAGCACAAGATCTAGGTTAGGGAGAGATTATGGTAGTGTAGGGATGAACAAAGGGGGCCTTATAAAATGTACTAAGATGTTTGGAGATTAGAGAATGAGATAGATAATGGAAAGTTTGTTTTAAGAACGACTGGCCTTTTTCTCCCCTCTGACCTCATGTTACATCATGCTCCTGGTATTGAGGTAAGAAATGCTAGTACTAAAGTGATCACCCCCAAATTCTCAATTATAAGTCCCACTTCATGCACCTAGGGACATGATGCCTTCCATTCTGTGGCTCTGAAATCTTCAAGTGGTTTGGAATTGTCTGTTGATTCTTTTTCAGCCAGCAAGTAGATGAAAAAGGAGAGAGAAGATTTGGAGGGTTTTATAGATCAATCCTTGAAATACTTATATTCCATTGGTCAGAACTCAGTCATATGGCCACATATAGTAGTAAAAAAAGCTGGAGGATGGAATCTGGTTCTATGCCCAATAAGAAGATGACACATGTAATGGTGAGCACTCACAACCTCTGCCACATGCCTCTATGAGCACTATGATCCCTTCTTCTGATATGCCAAGGTCCTTTTCCTCTCAAGGCCTTTACAGTTGCTGTTCCTGTGCTTTTTATAAAAAAATACCCCTTGACTGGCTGATAAAAAGTCACTGCCTCAGAAAGGCTTACAGGAGGAGTCTTACTCATCATATTTTACTCTTGTATCTGTTTTATAGTACGGAAAAAGCAGGTACATTGCTGCTTGAGATTATTTTATTGTTTCTCTCCTAATTGAATGTATGCACCTAGGATAGTGCCTGACTCATGGTACTATTTGACTGAAAATTAATCAGTTAAAGAGATGAAAAAAAAAAAAAGAAATAAAACATTTACTAGCAGCAGAATGTAGTTGAAAAGGCACAGAAAGATTTGAAAGCAAGTAGACTGGCTAACATGTTAGTCAGTTGCAGTAATAGCCCTTAGAGAACATTTTCTATGAACCAGATACTATTCTAAGCACTTTATGTACATTATCTCATTGAATAATCACAACAATTCTATGAAATTGGCACTATTATTATCCCCATTTTACAAGTAAGAAAGCTAAGGCACTAATAATTTGAACAACTTGTCCAAGGTTATACAGTTTAGTAACTGGTACAGGTTAGATTTAAACCCAGGACTGTCTGGCTCAGAATCCATGCTTTGAAGGCAGCATGCTACTCTTGTTTTTTTGTCAGATGATAGGAGCCTGATTTAGAACAGAGGTGGTATAAATGCAGACTGCACTGGAGTAATGGGGAGAGGGAATGTTTATCTGAGACTTGTTTTTCTATTTTATTTAGAAAAAATAAATCCTTCATTATAAATGTATCTGCAAGTATGAAAGGCCCCCTAGAACTCATCTACTTACTATTCCCACAATTAGTCCACTCTTCTCTGTCTTTTCAGAAAAATGTTCCGGAATACAATGAGGAAATTGAAGAGAGAGGCGAGGATGATTAGTCAATCGAAGCTTTGTGAAGGCCAAGGAGAACAATATATTACAAAAGACAAGAAGACAGCATAACAAGTCAATCACCATTACCCCAGAAGAGTTGATATAATAAAAGTTGAATTATCTTCACCTGCCTCTCCATGTTAGTTACAAAACAAAATTAATATAAAAACAGAAATTCCTCTAATGTCTGTTGAATATCTTGAGTATGAGGAAATGTGTGATGCATGTTTGAGATGAAAAAGTGTGAATCTTGAACTCTAGTAAAGAAATTAAATTGTCTTTGCTGGCTCCTCCTCTTTTGTTCAACTCTAATTGCTGGAGTGTCTTGGAACTTAATCCTGTTTCTCTTTTTTTTTTTCTGTCATCACTCTCACTTTCTCTCTAGGTGCTCCCAACCAACCTCAGGCTTAAATTACCATCTATATCCTGATAACTTCGATATGATCATATGATTTTTATCTTTTATTTTGTTTATGTAGTATATTACATTTATTGATTTGCGAATATTATACCAGCCTTGCATCCCTAGGATGAATCAGACTTGGTCATGGTAAATAATTTTTTTGATGTATTGCTAGATTTGATTTGCTAGTATTTTGTTCAGGATTTTGGCGTTTATGTTCTTCAAGAATATTGGTCTGTAGTTTTCTTTCTTTGTAGTGTCTTTTTCTGGTTTTGGAATTAGAATTATGCTGGTTTCATAAAATGAGTTTGGAAGCCTTCCTTCTTCTTGAATTTTTTTGCAATAGTTTGAGGAGATTGGGTATTATTTTTTCTTTGAATGTTCGGTAAAATTCCCCTGTGAAGCCGTCCAGGACTGGGCTTTTGTTTGCTGGGAGAGTCTTGATTACATCTTCAATTTCTTCTGTTGATATTGGTCTGTTCGTTTTCTATCTCTTTCTGGTTCAGTTTTGAGAGACCATGTGCTTCTAAAAATTGGTCCATTTGGCTTAGATTGTCAAATTTGTTGCTGTATAGTCGTTCATAATATTTTTTAACAATCCATTGTATTTCTGTAGTGTCAGTTATTATTTCTCCTCTTTCATTTCTGATATTGTGTATTTGGGTTCTCTCTCTTTGTTTTTTGATAAGTCTATCTATGGATCCATCAATCTTGTTTATCGTTTCAAAGAACCAGCTCTTTGTTTTATTGATCCTTTGAATTGTTTTTTTAGTGTCCATTTCATTTATTTCTGCCCTGATCTTTACTATTTCCTTCCTTCTACTTGCTCTGGGGTTTTCTTCTTGTTTGCTTTCTAGTTCTTTAAGTTTCGAAGTTAGATAGTCTATCTATTAGAACGTTTTCTTGTTTCTTAAGGTAGGTTTGTAGTACTATGAACTTCCCTTTCAGAACTGCTTTTGCTGCATCCCGTAGGTTTTGTGTTGTTTTGTGTTCATTTTCATTGGATTCCTGGAAGTTTTTAATTTCTTCCCTAATCTCCATGGTAATACATTCATTGTTCAATAATATGCTATTCAGCCTCCATGTTTTTAAATGTCTTTGCATGTTCTTGTTTCCATTGATTTCTAGTTTCATGCCATTTGAATCTGAGAAGACGGTTGATATGATTTCCATCTTCTTGAAATTCTAGAGACTTAATTTGTGTCCTAACATGTGGTCTATCTTTGAGAATATCCTATGTGCACTTGGGAAGAATGTGAATTTTGCAGTTTTGGGGTATAATTCTCTGTAGATATCTATTAAGTTCATTTGATCTAGTGGTTCATTTATAGTTTATATTTCCTTGTTAATTTTTTTTGTCTAGAAGATCTATCCAGTGATTTCAGTGGGGTGTTGAATTCTCCTACTATGATTGTATTGCTGTCAATTTCTCCTTTGAAGTCCTCCAAAATTTTTTTAATATATTTTTGTGCTCCTATATTGGGTGCATATATGTTTACCAAAGTTATATCTTCGTGTTGAATAGATCCTTTCATTATTATGTAGTGGCTTTCTTTGTCTCTAGGTATGGTCTTCATTTTGAAATCTACTTTGTCAGATATGAGTATTGCTATCCCAGCTTTTTTTTTTTTTTTTTTTGCTTTCCATTTGCTTGGAAGATTTTTTCCATCCCTTCATCTTCAACCAATATGAGTCTTTTATTGTGAGGTGGGTCTCATGTAAACAACATGTATGTGAGTCATGCTTTTTTATCCAGTCAGCTACTCTGTGTCTTTTTATTGGAGCATTCAAACCATTCACATTTAAGGTGATAATTGATAGGTACTTATTTATTGCCATTTTTGTTTGGTGTGGTTCTATTTTTTTTTCCTGTTTCTTTTACTAATTACAGCAGTCCTTTTAGCATATCTTGCTGTGCTGGATTTGTTTTAAATTCCCTTAGCATTTTTTTTTTTTCTGGAAAGGTCTTTATTTGACCTTCTATTTTGAATAATAGCCTTTCTGGATAATGTAGTCTTGGATTCAGGTCCTTGTTTTTTATGGCCTTGATTACTTCATGCCACTCTCTTCTGGCCTGTAGTGCTTCTGTTGAGAAGTCAGCTGAGAGCCTTATGAAGTTTTCTTTTTAGGTCACCTGTTGCTTATCTCCTGCTGCCTTTAGGAATCTCTCTGTGTCTCTAATTTTTGGCATTTTAATTACCATGTGCCTTGGTGTGGGCCTGTTTATATTCTTCTTACTTGGGGCTCTCTGTTCTTCTTGAACTTGAATGCCTTCTTCCTTCACCAAGTTAGGACAATTTTCTGTCATTATTTCTTCAAGTATATTTTCTAACCTTTGCCCATTTTCTTCCTTTTTGGTGACTCCTATGATGCAAATCTTAGTACATTTCTAGTTATCCCACATTCTCTTAAGCCATCTTCCTGTTTTTTAATTATTTTTTTCCTTTTGGTTTTTTGATTGGTTGATTTTTTCTGCCCTGTCTTCTAATTCACTGATCTGGTCCTCAGATTTCTCTACTCTGCTGTTTAGTCCTTCCAATGTGTTCTTAATTTCTGCTATGTCATTCTTCATTTCCACTTGGTTGGTTTTCAATGTTTCTATGTCTTTACTCATGGTGCTGATGTCTTTACTCATGCTGTTGATCTTCCCCAAGATCATGGCTCTGAATTTTACTTGTGATTATTTGCTTAGCTGCATTTCATTGATTTCATCTTCGATAGAGTTCTCTTGTTCTTTCATTGGGGATTTGTTTCTTCATTTCACCATTTTGGCTTTCTCAGTGGTTTTTGGAGCCTTCCAAATTTTTTCTGTGGGTATTGGTGTTTTGTTGTTTGTGGCTCCCTCTACTGGGTTCGGATGAGCCTGGGTGGGCCCACATTAAACACCACTGTCAAGTCTTACTTTCCTGAGTAGATATGCAAGCCCAGAAAAGCTTCAGTTATCCTCTAGCTTTTTCCTGGTGGCTAGTAGTCTCCGTTACTCAGTGCCTTGATATGTAGCCCTGGTGTTCTGCCTAAGAGGATTTCTAGAGTTTGGGATAGATGCTGGTTGTTAATAAGCCTCAATTTTTAGTTCTTTGCCTCATTTGGGAAAGGCTGAATCTCTGAGGGGCGGGGGTGATGCTTTTCCCCAAAACTTGGGGGTGGAGCATACTGCCCACCATCCTTTATGGCTGAAACTCAGCAACAAGTCTGAGTGCCCTCCAAATTCCAGGTGTTCACACAGAGTTCCAACCCAGTCTGCCCTCCCTCTGCCGTAGCCCCCAGGTGAATGGTTGTGGCTATTTTAATTCTCTGTCCTGGCTCTCTGGGCTGTGGAGCAGGCTTGGTCTTTATTTCCCAAGGGCGCTGCTCACAGCTAAGACTGCTGCTGTCCGTGGGCTCTTTGCCTGCTACCCTCCGATGCCTCTGCAGATCCTACCAGTGTCCCTGGTTATATGGTCCTTTCCTGCTGCCTTTTTCAGAGGATTTGTCTTTATTTTAGTTGTAGTTCCCATTTGGTCCTTTGAGATCGTCTGCATGACTTCTGTTCACTCCGCCTCCTTTTTCACATTCTCTAAGCCTATCTTATAAGCAGCTGGGTCTCACAGGCCTTTCTGGTGCCCCGAAACTCTGCAGGTCCCATGGGTAACTGGATCACACAGTCCCTCTGGGGACCGGGCTCTATGCCTATGTTATGGGCTGCTGGTTCTCATAGGTCTCTCTGGTATTCAGCACCCCACTGTTTTCGTGGGTAAGTGGGTGGCACAGTCCCTTCTGGTTTGTATAGTCCTCTCTGGAGCTTCAGCACCCCCTAGGCCCCATGGGTAACTAGATCATGCAGTCTCTTCTGGGTGGCACAGGCCTCTCTGGTTCTTCAGCACCCCACAAGCCCCATCTGTAACTAGTTTGCACAGTTTCTGCTGGGTTGCACAGGCCTCTCTGGTGCTTCAGCACCCCACAGGACCCATGGGTAATTGGATGGCACAGTCCCTGCTGGGTGGCACAGGCCTCTCTGGTGCTTCAGCACCCTGCAGGTCCTGTGTGTAATTGGATGGCACAGTCCCTGCTGGGTCGCAGATGTAATTGGAAGGCACGGTCCCTTCTGGCTCACAGGGGCCTCTCTGGTGCTTCAGCACCTCACAGGACCCTCAAGTAACCGAATCACACAGTCCCTGCTGGTTCTCACAGGCCTTTCTGGTGCTTCAGCACTCCATAGGTCCTCGGGTAACTGGATTACACAGTCCTGCTGGGGGACTAAGGCTTCTCTTGTGCCCCTGCTCCCTGCAGTTCCTGAGGGCAGGCAGCTGGATCACACCAGTCTCTCTCTGCGGCTCGGGCTTCCAACTGCACTTGTGAGGTACTGGACTACACAGGCCTCTGTGAAGCCCCAAGTTCTGCTGCTGGCTTCTGGGGAGTGTTATTGCCCTGTGGGGCTCAACTCCTGCTAAGCTTTTGCTGTAGATTTTGGGGATGGGTCTCATCTGCTGGTCTGTGCTTCTGTTGCCTGGGGATAAATTTCTGCTCCCCAGCCTCTGTTGCTGGGGGTATATCTTGACTCTGATCAGGCTGCTACTATGGGAGATGGTGCTGGGCTCTGGGCTGTCCGTGTCTTTTTTTACCGGCACCTTGGAAGCTCCACTACTGTGCACTAGTCTGTGTTGACACAGAGTGTTTACTGGTCCAATATTGCCAGTTTTGCTGGTGGGCTCAGGTTGCTGGGCCCTAGACACTCCCACTGCCTCCTCCCA